CATGCAAGAGAGAAGACAGACGAAGGAAAACCGAAAACGATAAGATTCATCAAGATACCAGCACTTAGTTCTTCAAGAAGCCAACTGAAGACGACCAGCAATCCTGGAGGAGATTCCGAAAATACAATAGAGGAGACTACAGAAGGAAAAACGAAGGTAACTGGATTCATTAATCTACCGAAATTCAATTCTTCAAGGAGTCAACCGAGGACGGTCAACCATCCTGAAGGGGAGGAGTTATAAAACGGTGGATCAAAGGAACCGGAGCAACCGCCAAACACCAATACATTCATCCAGAGCCACAGCAACAGAACCGATTCTGCAGCGTAGCAACAAACCATGAACGACGGAGACGACCGACGCCAACGCGCCACATCGACCGAACGCATTGATCGATGCACCGCAGAAATGATGAGCCAGGAGGAATGCAGCTTGGCAACAACCCGTGAAGGCAACGTGGACGATCAACGTGGAAGACAGACTGTTGGCTTTTGCTGAATAGGTAGCTTTAGTTTATAAAAGGTTTAATGATAGGACAATTAAGTTTAGTTTTGAGTGTGACATGGTAGTGAACGGTAATTAAACAAATGTTTAAGTGAAATAAAGTTTTTTGTTGTGTTAACCCGAGATATCACGGCTTAACTTATATATATATATATATATATATTTATATATATATATATAAATATATATAAATATATATATATATATATATATATATATATATATAAATATTTTTTTTTTCTTTGGTTTGTTTTTTCCGTCGATCTTGTTTTCCGTGCTGAGCACCAATGCTACCGACGTGCCAGCAAGGCAGCTCCCACACCTGGACCCTACCTATCGACCCATCAACTCATGAACCGGGGACCAACGGCTTTACTTCCCATCCGAAGGAAGGCGTGATCAGAGATGTTATGCCTAAGAACATCCCAGCGGCGCCGACTGGTATTGAACCCAGGCCTGCTGGGGTGAGAGGTAATCACGCTTACCACTACACCACCGGCGCCGTTATATATAGATATATATATATATCTCAGGAAACCACAAATCGTATAATGATGTTCGTTTAAAATCGTATAAATATCCAAATCAAGCTGAAAATGCATAAGATGCAATTCCAAATTGGATGTAATTTGTTTAAAGAAGAAAAATAATGATTAGATTATAATCCTCTTTGCGGAATTGTATATGAGTTCGTTTGATGTCAATAAGGAGTTATTTAACGCATTCTATTTTAAACATGTTGAAGATCATACATATGAGTACATAAGATTAGTTTCAATCATATCGTTTGTTGTCAAAACAATTTATTGGACCATAACAAAAAAAAAAAAATTACAGCCAAATGTATTCCTTTGTGATGAAAAATAAATTGGCACGTGTTCGAAAAAAAATGGAGAATACAGCCGATTGCTGCAAAAGCACAAAAAAATAGAGGGGGGAATACAGAAAAAGAAAATTTCGATTTTTCACCTCAACCACAACAGTAAGTTTCAACGGTCGTGTGGATGATTTGCCTACACTTGATGAGCTTACTGATATGACGTTTAAACATCAACCTTCTGAAGGTATTTTACCAATTAACAATAACTGTGTGTTAACATTTTCCAACAAACCTAACGTCGGCAATCCGAGAATAGGCATCTCAATTCCAAATATCACAGTCCACATTAAAATCCTTGACTGATATTCTCAACACTCAAAGGAAATAGCCTAGGACACTGATGAGAGCTCCTAGATATCTAGAAATAATAGATATGAAGGATAACGGGAATAATTGGCACCACGGCTTAGGAAAAAGTCTTCAAAATCGACTTAAACACGTAACCACCTATATGTTTGTATCCATCAACATAAATATTGATAGACTTCTCATCTACAAAAGTAGTGCAAATCATTTTTAGGCAATTGTTGCCAATATGCATGAGCTTCCTCACATGCAGCCAATGACTATCGGAATTTACTATGGAGTGAGTAAACCCGTGGATGCTGATGAATGTTTGTCGCCGATGATACAAGAGCTACTACTACTTTTGCATTCTGGAGTACCGTAAAACGGGGTAACATTGATAGTTTTTTAAAGTATATTCTAAATATTTTTTACAGCAACTAATGTTTTTCAAATTTTATTTTTTTAAAACAAGTACTGAAGATCCAAGAGTTAATTTGTTAGTAATATGTTGAACGAAAATTAAAGCATTTTCACAATTTTTTTAGTTTTGTGACCGAACTTCAGTATTTTGATTTGGTAATGCTCGATGAATTTAGAAAAAAATGAGTGAAACTCAAACAATTTAGTTCTTTAAATATGAAACTTTGAATGAGTATATAATCAGAAAACTTCATAAACAATAAGAATACAACATTGAATTTGTGATGGCTGTATCGGAAATACATTTAATAAGTGATGGTTTGAGTGCTTTTTAAAAAAGGCGAAAAACACGAAAATGATTTTTAAATACAAGGTCATATATCATGCAGAACAAGATTGTATAATGCAATCTGCGCTGCTCTAAGTAGTTTCAGCTAGGGGAGAAATGATATAATATAATACGCCAGATCGAATTAGATTTAATCACGTATACACGCGAGGCATCATAATTTGAAATTTATTGCTCCGAATATACGTGCTCATATGACAGCGAGGATCGCAGCCGGACTACGGAGCTAATTATCTTTGGTTCCAAACTAGTTATTGCAGGTAATATATCTTCTTCTTCTTATTCGCATTTCAAGCTTATTGCTTAGTGCATATAAGCTTATTGCGTGCTTACAACTTAGTGTTCTAAATGCACTTCCTCAGTTATTAATTGAGAGCTTTCGATGCCAATTACCAATACATGAATTTGTACATTGTGTGGCAAGCACAATGATAATAATACAGGTAATATATACTTTAAGCTTTAAATGTGTTCATAATTTCAAAAGATAATTCATTATATTTCAATTTCCATCTTCTATTCAAACCAATATCACCAGGTACCACCAACTTAAAAAATTGAAGGATCATTTAAAAAGATATTTTTTCTAGGTTTTGGCTTTTTGGTCTGACTATATGGATTGCCATAATTTTAGAGATGTAGTTTGATAGTCGCTCAAATAATATTTTAAGTTACATATCGGCAAATACAAATTATATTAGATGCAAGATCAAGTTATACTATGAAATCATACAATGTAGGAGTACATGTACGTATATGACTTCGAGATTTGTACGTATAGTTGAATTCACTTAGCAGAATAGCAATTCAGTAATGTTAACACAATTGTTGGCTGGGATATATATAAGACTTAAAGTGTTTTACTGCCCATACTATAGCGAGTAACTCTATTTCGGCTGTAGAATAATGTCTTTCGGCTGGATTTAAAATTCTAATAGCGTAGGATATGGGCAAGTTTGAACCTTCATTTGTGAGGGCTGCTCCAATAGCTACATTACTTGCGTTTGTTGTTAACACAAATTTCTTTTCCAAATCAGGATATTGTAACATTGGATATCTTATCAACAACGATTTTGACTCGTCAAAAGATTGTTGAAAATTTTGACTCCATACAAATCTTTGACCTTTCCTTAGTCATTTATTGATTGGATCTGCTAGATTTGCCAAATTTGGAATAAATTTGCGATGGTTACTTAAAAATCCTAAAAACATTTTGATTTCCTTTGGGGTTTTAGGCACTGGAAAGTTTTTAATGGCACATATTTTTGTTTCATCTGGCATCTTCGGTGTCCTAAATATAAAAATTATTTTTCATGAAAATTACATTTATCGGTTTTAAGTTTAAGATTGAACTTTCTTAAACAATCAACAACTTCACATATTGTTTCATTGTGTTCTTTAAATAATTTGCATAGACAATAACGTCATCCATATAAACAAAAAAATTGATTCATGAGTCTTTGAAAAGTGGAAAAGTTAGGTAGAGTTAGGCACTTCCCGACAAAGAATCCAAACATTGCTGACGTTCCCAGCCACGAAGACTTACCAAGTCCCATCTAGCCTGTTAGATGCAAGAGAATGTATCTGTGCGCTTTAGAGCCAATGCACTGCACAGGGTTCTGTGAAAAGGTTACTGGAAGAGGTTGAGAAATACATATCGACAATGAGTCAAGAACGGAAAAAATCTTTTCATTTGCCAGTAGAATCAAAAATGAACCAAATACTGAGGTCACAGCAAGTCTGGATCATGATGAACACAGAATACGAAATACGGTAACACCATCATCTACTGAACTTTCCATTATGTTAACAGTTGCATTCAAAACGACCATAACTGGCAACAAGATATTCATGAGTGCAACAGAGCTATGACAGTCAAATACAAATCGACAGTGCTATAGCAAGTGGTGCAATGGCGGCAATAACCACAGGCGACTACAATAGATAAAACTACTCTCCCGAGCAGAGGAAAAAAACACAGGCGACAGTTTACAGGACAAGGATTCCAGCTGAAGACAGCGCATGATCTCGGTGCATGGTGTGGAATAGCTGGTGTCTGGTGATAACAATTTCAACACGAGCCGACAGGACCGAATGCGCGAGTATCTACGGTCCATACAAATTTCAAACAAATTTTATGGACGATTTTTTACGCGGGGGTCTAAAACCTCTCAAAATTGTTCTACGTAGTTTATGAACAGCCCCTGAGCCGCAAATGAATGTAAACAAACAAACACTTCATATGCCATCCAATAACAAAGCTTCAATAGCCATTTTCAGACTTTTAAATAAAAAATAAAAATATTTTTGGTGGGGGCGACCCCGGCGTACTGGTTAGCATCCATACCTCTCACGCCAAAGTCACGAGTTCAAATCTCACCTCTGGACAAGTCACGAATGACCCAAGAGTGTTAAAGTGACTATAAAAAAAAAAAAAATATATATTTTTGGTAGCTCTCACACGAATAATAGAATTTATGGTATAGTTCTTTCATAAAAATATTTCTCATAAAAATTGGATTATTTTTGCAATATTATATTTTAATAACAAAAGCGGTTTGATTGATTTCACCTTCCAATCAAAATAAAACGTAGTATAACATTCTTACAATTAAACTTCTACATACATATTTACGTAAAGCATTACATAAAAACTCAAAATATACATGCTGATATACTTCATATTTTGTTATATTTTAAAATTCTGCATAGGTAAACAAAATACTTTCTATCTTTATCTACAATAAACGTGTTTTTGGCTTTGGTCTTACTATAGTGAAAGTGATTTTTCCTTGAGTTGTCTTCATGAGAACTGAACAATCCTCAAATGACATATTGCTTATGCTTTCTGAATTTAAATTACTTATGATATCTCCCTTCTGTATTCTTCCGTCAGATTCCGCTATTCCTCCTGGTAGCTGTGAAATAAATGTCAAGCATATATAATTTATATAAAGATAGGATGTAAAAGTTATGGCTAAACGCTCCTATTATGGTGTGTTCCAATTCTGACATATGGAATGTCCATTGAGCATAATAGGCATGACTGGTATATCTAACTATGATTATGTACGAATTCGTCGGTTATCGTACCTATTTGCGGCAGTTATTTGTTTTTTAAATATTAAAATAAATTTTGATCCATCAACGGAATACACGTGATGCATTGTGAGAAGTAAACGCAAAAGGATTTTACTTAATTTCTAGCCATAATAGGTATAGGCATAAGAGATACAGATTTGAGTTATGAGCCAAAGTTGTAGCTAATAACCAAACCTACAAAAGCTCTAAACATCATTTTGCGGAATGCTGTTGATGAAAAAAGTTAGAGGCAAATGAATTTAAATGAATGTAAATGATTCTCCATGCCTGGGTAGAGCAGCTGATGTAGACGTTATTTTCCATAAAAAACTATATTGCAAGGGCAAATTTTCATTACGTCGAATGTAACAAAGGTAAACAAAGTCGAGCTATCAGTGTCAATCGATGCTCCTGCTATTACACTATATACTGTCCAAATATAGGATCACATCCCATTTTTAAATTTATTTAACAGTCAAATTGCTTTTTGACGTAATCACCTTCCGATCAAAATAGCTTTCGATGTTACTTAAGTCACCCGATTTCTATGGAGATGCCGTTTGCCTTAAGTAACAGCACTGAGAAACCCGTGAAAATTGTACTTTCGTCGTTTCGCTTTCTCATTATTAAAGTGAATAAATCGAACTGTTTGTTACTAAGATGATTTCGGTGGTCCTAAAATGATAAATGGGCTGCAAGCAAGGAGACGTAATTGATAATTCTCTCGAATATCCTGGTAAATACACTTTGACTTAAGTAACAATAGGGGCCACCAAACGACGAATAATAACTTTTGACTCAAAAACCAGTATTTCTTAGCATGAAAGCTAGCGATTTGCATTTGTATGATTAAAACCCGGCTAAATATGTTTAACATTGCTATCACTATGAGATTATATGTGTTTAATTGGAAATAGGAATAACTTTTCGGTCATCAAAACAAAACTTTATTTTTCTCGGATCGGTACGAATGTTACTTACGACATAATGAAAATTTGCTCTTGATTGGTGTCCAGTCTTCCGAAAAACACGCGCACATTCGCACCCGATGTAAAAACATAACGTTTTTGTTGAACACGTACACGCTCTTCCTTGTGTTGTTATGTTCATTTCAAACATGCTGTTCAATACACACGCATGAACGTTTTGTTGAAGCCACGTGTTCTTTTTCATATGTGCAAACACGGAGTTTGAACACGATGTTTGTTTTCTTCGGATTGCTTTTGTTGGACGGATTACCGTGCCGTGAACTCAAGTGTTTAAAAATCATCAACATATTATGAGATATTTTCAAAATGATCCATGTACTTACAGCTCTAATGCACGGGAAGTAATATTTAAAGTGGTAACAATTCAAAAATAATGTTGAAACATAAAAAAAAATAATTTGATGCGCAGAAGTAGACACAGTGTGGAATTTGGTGCTTACACGGTAATCTTTCCTCCTCTTGTGTCGTGTTCGAGATAGGCGTAGGTATATATCAATGTTTTCATCTGGAAATCTTCTTCCATGGACCTCTCCGACGTTTATAACACGCACACTTGCGTAGTCCCATGTTCAAGTGCAAAGTTTGTTATCCTCACTTTTGCTACAGCCAAAAATGATAGTTTGTTATTTTTATCCTCACTTTCGGACTATCAATTCTCGTGCGGGTAGACTATGGTAGAATACTTTCCTGATTAAAACATATCAAGACCAACAATTGAAATGGCCTTAACTCCATTTTGTAAACAAACCTTGTAAGCAGGCTTGCTTCCACCCACTTGCTATAAAAACATGATCTTCTGAATTTTGAAATCATTAGATGTTATAATTATATTTTGTACTTGTTAAATACAAGAAGAGGTTGAAAAGCAAGTGTTTGACACATGAAACCTGTCAAATTTGCTCTCAGATAGTCACAATCAGCGATTTTACGACTCGCGAGCGCTCACTCTGAGTGAACGCTCACGAATCATAAGATCGCTGATTGTTACACTCTGGTAGTGAAATTGACAGGTTTTATGAGGCAAAGACTTGCCTTTTAACCTGTTCTTGTATCTAACAAGTGCAAAACATCATTATAACATCTAATGATTTCAAAATTCAGGAAATCATTTTTTTATAGCAAGTGAGTGGAAGCAACCCGCTTGTAAGGCCGTTTTCTCACGAACCGAAACCTTCATTCGCAAACCTAAACCACAATCGGGTAGAGGAGAATTTGACCTACCTGTTCATTATGTTAGTTTGCCTTTGCGGACTTCGGTTCGCGAGAAAATCAGGCATAACATTTGATAACGGCACAAAAGCATTTGTAAACAAACTTTCTAAGGCCCTTTACACACGAACCAAGGTACGCCCACGCAAACCAATACCATTTTCGGAAAGGTGATAGTTGCCCCTATCCGATGATGTTGTTGGTTTGCATGGGCGTACTTTGGTTCGCGTGTAAAGGGCCTTAGAAAGTTTGTTTACAAATGCTTTTGTGTCGTTATCAAATGTTATGCCTGAAATGGCCTTACAAGGTTTGTTTACAAAATGGAGTTAAGGCCATTTCAATTGTTGGTATTGATATGACTGACACAATCGCACTAAGTCTTTAACTTTATCTATTATTTTCGCGTAACATTTGAAAAGGGCCTATCCGCGTTGATCGATTCTCTTCATCAATCTTTTTGGTTTACTACGGCAACATAAACGAATTTCTCGCTAAGCTCGCAGCATAGTTCGACAGATGATAATGTTAGCTTGCGCGTGAAACAACACACTCAATTGGAAATTCATTTGCAGTCGGGTTATTCGCGAAAGAGAAAATCGATGAAGAGAATCGATCAACAATGATGGGCCCTTTTCACGTGTTGCGTGAGATTTGTTATTTACAGGCACTGGGAGTATACTGAAAAATACTGTAAATTGGAAAGTAGGAAAAGATCGCTCATTCGCATTGATCGAACACAAGGTTCAAAAGATTCTGTGTGAGTGCAAACATGAAAAGCAGCAACACAGCGAAAACACGTTCATCTCGAACACTACGTTGTATGTTCAATACCGAAGACTAGTGTAACTGACCCTTTTAACCACAAACGAAGTGACAGACGGAGCGGCTCGAAAACTTTGGTGACGCACCTGCTATTGCAATTTTTCAGTGTACCACATGGCAACACCACTACTACTGGATTGTACCACATGGCAACACTACTAATGGATTGTACCACATGGAAACACTAAATGTACTAGAATGTTTTGGTTCTATCTCTTTCACTCTACTCTAAACTGAAATGCATAAAAAAATGACAAAAATGATACACTCTTTGCACACTGTCAAAGATCATATTGCACACAAAATCAACTATGTTCAAATCAAAACAAAAATACTAGCCCATCTGGTGGCTGATGGCACAAGCTTCTAAGAAAATTCTATTACAGCGAACCACATTATTTTAATTGATTTCTTCGCCAGTTAGTCGTCTGTCACTTCGTTTGTGCTTTTAACATCATGTTAGTCTTACTATTGATGTTCAGCAATGAGATTCAAATGATAAACATTGAAATCAATTATTTTGTTCTAGGAGCCCGATTTACTAACAATGATCTCCAATGATTACACTGTGCAACAATTTTTTTTGTGCGGAAAAGTTTTACCACACTTTACTTTTTTGTGGCATTTTTCAGGAACTGCCTCTTTATGAATTTTGGTATGTTTGCACGGTTTTGGTCGTATTCTTCCAAACGAAACATTTCATGTGATGGCAATTTCAACAACTTATATGATTGAAAGCACTCAAAATCGGATATTCTCAATAATTTTATTGTTCTTCTGCTAATTTTTTAAACATAAAAAGTGTTTAATTATTTAAACTATAACACGAGTTTCTAGAACAGACAATATATAAACGTAGTGGACGTTTTTGTGGTCTCCTGAGTTTAAGTTTACTTGCCCAAGCACATCACATTTTATCGTTACGTGTATAGGAACACGGCGAATGAGAACGACTCAAATTTGCGTTTACTTCACTCATAATCGCCAAAAGTGCAGGAATTCAGCGATGAGTAAATTTGCCTCATGTTTTCCCAGGTTTTCCCAGGTTTTTCCAGGGAAAAAATCCCGAATTTGAGAAAAGTAAAGATTGGATTCACTCAGTCTATTGGTACTACTCCGAGACTGAATAAAATTTTCGTCAATTTCCTCATTTTCCGGCAGATTTTTTAGGTTTTCCACAGAAAAATCATGAGACAAATTTAACTCATCACTGCGTTCCTGCACTTTTGGCGATTATGAGTGAACTCCGTTTTTTTTTCGTAAACTCTCATAGACGTCTTATAATTATGAATCGGAGTTAATAGACCCTGGAGTTCATAAACGCTCCTCTGGAAAATAATAGACAACTCATCAGAATGAACTCAGAGTTGTGACTGGAAAATGGACCACATTGTCCATTGGATGGTCCTCCGGAATATTCGGAACATCCGTTAAAGTGGATAGGTCAAGTGGATAGGACTGATCTAAGCACTCTGTGGTTTTTTTGGAACTGCTCATAGACACATTTTTTATTTATTATCATGGATGATTTCCAGGTGGTATTTAAGTATTTAATAATTCTAGACACTTTTAACGGAATTTTTGAATATTGTTCCTTGGATTTCATTAGCTTATTTCTCTTGACTTCTTGGAGATGTTTCATTGGAGTAACAAGTTAACGAGGGGCTAGCTTCAATGTTTATATTTTTAATTAATCACATCTGCATTTAATCAATAAGCCATTTGAAAAAAAAAATCGTCTTATTGAGTTATTATTAATATTAATTTATGAGTGGTTTTGAAAAAAAAAACAACCTTGTAGCTCTAGGATCAGTTTC